ACTTCCTGGACTATCTCAAGCTTAACCGCAAAACATAACGTACCGTAGATGTCTCTGTGTTTTGTCATCGGTCTGTCACCAGTCTGTCACTATAACGTCATTCCCAGAAATTTACATCTTTCTACTACTTGTATATAATATCACGATTCTACCCCATTAACGGTAATCTTGAAATCAAAGAAGGAAAACACGGATAATTCTTATGCAAGCCTGTTAAATGCTCAACAATATCAAATGCTTTAAAGCTACACTTTAGATAGCACTCGGATTTTAATTTAGTTAAAGGTGAGCATTAGATGTAAGAAGTTACAGTCACGCAAGTGTTAAATCAGACATGAAACCAAATTAAATTCCCTATTTTTGTATCCTCGCGTACCACATTTTACGGCTGCTTTCGTTCGCTTCTTATCGATGAGTCATTTGTTATATTGATGAACTCTTCTAAGTAAAAATGTTACTCATTCTGCTCTAGTCATATTCCTGTTACTTGAACAGTATGTTTTTAATCTAGAATGGTTTAAAATTAGTCATTTACTTAAACTATTAGACCTTTTCTCTAACACCTGTGCATATTTGTGATACTCGTAACCGAGTAATACGGAACATGTACGAAGTTTCGCAAATAATAATTCTTACACGAGGTGGGTGGACTTCGACAGCCATGCTCCTTGTAAGGCCAATTATTAAACTGGCGGCGAGACGCTCGCATCGCAATTTTTTCAATGTGGTGCTTTGTTGACATCGGTTTTCGACGTTAAAATTATAATTTTAGCTCACAGCAAAATGTAATTTTTCAAGTATGCAAACTATTACTTTCTTCAATTTTTTTAAATGTAGGTTCCTAACGCCATCTGAAAGATTGTTTTTTTAATACAAATTGTAAATTTAATGTTATTGGCAACTTATTCGGTATCCATACAAAATGCATTAAAGTATGTTGGAAATATTTCCACGTCATTCTTAGTTTTACGATAGCTCACAAGTAATGTTTATTGAGTTATTTTTCATAAGTATATTTTATTGTATTTAGTATTTCATTTTAATGAAGTTAATGTTAAACAGGTTAAACGTTAGTTTTGAATTAAATGACTGATCTATTATTTGGCCCTGTATGGAGCCTTGCTCCTTGCAAGACCGTTCGGAAGAGCTTAATAACACTTGAATGAAATAAATAATGATTATTTTGCAATAAAGGAAATATTTTCTATAGGTTACATAATAAAACAAAGTTTCATTTAATAATATAATGTGTTTCAATTATTTAGAAAAATAAAGAATAACTGTTTATTTGTTGGCCTTCCATGGTTCGCCCATCTGATTTTACATTTTCCTTCCTCTAGTGCATGTATAGTTTACCGAATTGCACTCGTTAGCACGTGATGGACATTTCATACTACATGAGATCCAGGAATACCATTTTGGTTTATCCATTTCTTTACAGTCATTTTGTAATGATTCCAACCACTCTTGACTGATTATAATTTGGAATTCGCTTATCTTATGGTATTCCCATTTTACCAAGAATCATAAATAAGGCTTCTCACTTTTCAGTATTGCCAATATTTTAATTTTGTTATCACTGCACATGCTTGGAAAGTAATTATTGTACAGGCGTTATTAAAGACTTTTAAAATCGTTTTTAAAATGCATTTTGTGAGTTTGTAATACTGATGAAATGGAACGTAAATGTCGATTCGTATAAAAGAGGATTCTGGTTATAAAAGAGACATAAATTGGTGATGGTGCGGTAATATTTTTTTATGCTTCGTTTTTTATTTTGTAACGTAGAATTTTAATTTTTTTGATCATAACATTATGAGTCGTTAAAAGGTTTGTTCCGTGCTTTCATAAATATTTGTCCAGATTCTTCAATATTGCTCTAGATTGTTTAATTTTTTTAGATAATCTGGAATCTCTAAAACCTCTAGATTTTCTGGATTTTTTAGATTCTGGATATTCGATGGATTTCGCTGTTCCTGTTGATTATCTGGACCTTCTAGATACTTCACGGCTTGTAGATTCTTTGAATTTTCTAAATACTATTGATTCTATAGACTGTCTAGAATTCTAGATATTCGAGAATTTTCACAGTCATCAAGGTTTCACGGAAACAGTTGCAGAAGCTCTCACAACTCCTAAGTGACTACAAAGAGGCGCCCTAGCGATCATCCAGTTTCAATGGTTGGTCGAGTTTTATCAAAAGGCCGTTCGTTTCGTCTGCCCGGAGTCCAGATCACCGAGGACTTGATCTGGCATAAACTCATCTCGTCAATCGCGGCAGCTGCCAGGGAAAAGCTATTCTTTGTTCGAGGCTAAGAAGTACTTTTCTCCACATAACCTACTTACTTTGTACAAGTCCCAGATAAGACTTAGCCTCGAGTGCTGCTCCCATGTTTGGGGTGCTGCTAACTACATTATCCATAATAGATGCTGTTCAGAGTTCGTTGGCGTTTCTCTAACGGACAGTCTCGGGACCCTTTTGCATCGACGGCGACGGGCCATCGCTGATTGGCTCTCTTCTGCCGCTGTATTAACGGGCTTTGCTCCATGATGCCACCTCGTGATGAACCTGCCAGATGGACCCGCCAGGCTTCTGCATCCGATTTTAACATTGGCGAACTCTGTACATCCAGAACTGGTCGGTACTACTGCCACAATCTGAATACGCGTCTGCTTCGATATTACAGAACTATTTTTTCTCCATATGTCTTCTCTGGCAACAATTAGGTATTATTATCTAAAAAACTATTTTTTCTCCATATGCCTTCTCTGGCAACAATTAGGTAGTATTATCTGATAGTGTGTCAGTTAGTACCATCGTAAGTATTGTCAAATATTTGATGCTGTAGGACAAACCTACAATAACTTGAAAGCCAGTTTACTATGTGGTATTGATATCCTACTATTTCTTATTTCTGACATTTTATTATTGACAGTATTGATTCCCATGTCACAGTTAGGTTTAAAACTGTATGCCTTTTACTTTGTTTTTTCAAAAATGCTAATAATCATGAGTTGAATTCGACTTTAATAATTCTGCAACTTGTTTCTCTGTTAAAAAAATAATGATACATAGTTTCTTTTGCCTTTTACTTTGATGTTTCATGCATCAGTTATTTTGCATGTTGAATTTGATAAAATTATACCAAAAATCAGGTTTTCAATGTAGCTCTGCGAATATGTAGCTGATTTTATGTTTTATTTCAATTATGTAAACAGTGCCAATGAAGATATCACTGATTTCATTACCAGAACGCTACGATTGTACCATTTCAGAAATTTCTGGTTTGTGAAAATAATCCGAATTTTAAAATTATCTGTGCCCTTTTCTGATATGGTTTAACTGATTTGGTATTTCTTACCATTACATTAATATATCAATTAATATAGTTTTATAATATTTTAATCTAAACTCAACATATCTTAATTAGATTTCAGTATTTATAGGTACTCATCAAATTATTTTCACATTTTAACTAACTTCAACAAGTTTCGATTCAGTATCGCATATTAAAACAGTAATTTCTGCTAATAAGAAGTCGATCTGAAAGCACAAGCATTTAGTTGTTTTTTAATCCAACCCTCAGCAGGATCTATATAAGTTCTGCTCACGTGTTAGGAATGCTGCCACCCTTATTACATTATCCATGCTTGATGCTGTTCAGAGGAGGGTGACTGATTGGTGATTCTTCTCTAGCGGACAGTCTCGGGACCGCTCGCGATGCGCCTGTCAGGCAAACCGGCCTGACTACGTCCTCCCATTCTAACCGTATAAAACCTCGTACATCCAGAAATGGCCGATACGACTGCTCCTTTATCTCTAGGGTTTCGAGATTGTAGAACAATCTGCCTGAGGAATCTTTTCTCAGTTCTGTTAACCTTAAGCAGCTCAAAAATGGAATTAACAAAGTGTTTTTTAGCTCCTTATAGCAACCGCGACTCTACGCGACTGCTTTGGTATAAAAAAGCAGCGGGCTGAGTTAAAAAACTGATCTTCGGTTGGTCCCTAATTTAGACTAAAAATATCAACATTCTGTAATGTTAAGATGGTGATGAATATGTTTTTTTTACTGTTTCAGTTAAGTAAATAAAGAAATGGGCGCTAGACAGTCGAAACGATCGGTGGATATAACGACCACGCCGAAAAAAGATGGCGAAGTCGCCGTCGCGGAGGGGGAGGGGAAGTTAGAAAAAATCGGAGATGCTGCCGACCTCAAAGCTGCTGCTGCCACCAATGGATCTCTACCACACACAGACACCGTTGAGGTGAGTCTTGTTTAAAACATACTATTGTACTTTTTGTAAAGAAAAGACTTTAATCAAGAGAGCACATGCAGGTTTAAAGAAAAAAGCTAGGGCCTAGAAGTTGAGTAAATGGGCTTGGCTCAAATATTGTAGCTTCTCGGAATTATGCGATTTAGTCCGACTAATTATATACAGGGTGTCCGCAAAGTTGGGGTTTTCCTTTACACGATGAGTAGATCTTGAGAAAATAAGCGGATTTTCTTAGTAGGGTCAATATTCCCACACTGGGACATTTAAGTCCTCTATATGTGCCACATAAAAAATATCTAGTATTTAGAAGACCGTGCATTTACTCAATGCAGTATGGCTTGTTTGTTTGGAAATTATACAATAACCGAGATTTTAGTTTGTATACTTTGAATTATTTAACATTTTTCAAAAATCTCAATACACGGGACTGACACGGTTACACGGAACTGACAAAGATACAGCAGGATAGTAAACATGCTTTGCATTTTTTATTAAAAAATAGTCAGGTACAAAATAAACTCAAACAATGTATTCTGAAACAAAAACATAACGTTATATTGAGCGGCTACTTGGAAACTCTGCTGCTAATTGACCATTTTTTTTCCACTCGGACAAAGGAATATCATCATCTGAAGAACTTTCACTGTAAACATTGTAGTAATGTAGCTTCGCTTTATTCCCTTTGTCAAAAATATATAATTCTTCATCAGACGCAGAACTTTTCGTTACCGAATTATAAGATAAAGTTCCAATAGTGTAATGAAACAGGAGAGCTCTCTTAGAGATAGTGTGTTGTGGTCTCTTAGAGATCTTACTTGACGAACCTTCAAAGTTCCTTTAAATGGCAGAACCTCAGCTTTATTTATAGCATCTGAAAATTTTTCAATTTCACAAGCATGAATCTCCAAAAAGGATATGCCTGAGCAGTTGGCTTTCAGGATTTCAACCAATTGGCTGAAAGAACTCACATCAGATCCCTGAGCAACAGTACGGTCTGCACTCCTTTTACAAACTCCACCAATGCCGTCCGGGGCACCTTTACCATGTCCGGCCTCATGGTAGTTCCAGGTATTTGATTTTAGTTCCGGAAAGTAGCTATAGATGCCATTTGTAATGAATGCAAACATTTTCTTGTTGCGGTATTGTGTACTGGGGCTGTCGCTAAGAAAATGCAACAATTTTACCCTATTATCAATATAGAGTTTGATCAGTGGAAACAGATGAGCCCATATGGCACCGGGACCATGCTCCAACGACTCTGATAATGTACAAAAACTGTCAACCTTCAAGTCGTTTTCGTGTGCTCGGCTATAAATTACCACAGTATGCAACGTAATCTGTTGCCTTGATCCTCCAAAATGATAAGACTGGACTTCTTCTGCGTACTTTAGATTATAATTCTCAGAAAAGTCACAGTGAATGAGTATTTCCTCATTTGTCATGTTCTGTTTCAGTGTCTTGATTGCTTTGTATTGGTGAAAAATGCGTCCCTCGTGTGCCAAAAAAAGAGGCAACCTATCTTCAAATTTGGTCAAAAGATCCGATATTTCTATCTCTTGAATAATTTTAGCACTTTTCAAACTGGTAACGTTGTTTTGTGATCGTTTGCTGAAATAAGTTTGTTTTATGTTTTTCCACTGACTATATGATACAACGTTACCAGGATCGTACTGCTCAATATATTTAGGTTTATATAATGCACACACTGAACATTTCCTTAGTAGACATAGGTCATTGCGGGTCTCACATGTCATTGACTCAATTATTGCTTCTGTAGTTTTGCAATGCAACACTTTACTTTGCCAAAGAGATAATACAATCAACTCCATGTTACTATGTGTTATACATTTACATGTGTCTCGATTTGCTACCTTCATAAACTTTATCCAGAAAGGTTTACATTTACAGAAAAATGTATAACTCACCTTGACATCGGCGTATTTTTTACAAAACTCTTTGAACAAATTCTTCAAAGTGTTTGTTAAATATCTTTTTTGATAGGTGAATTTATTCTTTGTAACATAGTCTTTCTTACCGGGGCAAATCCGGCTATTAACATCTTCCTGTAAGAACGCCACAATTTTATTCCTATTTTCAGATGCTCTTCGGTTTTTCTGATACTTAACATCTACATTCCTATGGCTGTATTCCACTACTCTTGTTTTTGTATATCGAAAAACTTTGGAACACGTTCGCTGAAGCTTGTACTTCTTAATAATTTTTCCATCCATTATTTTCCTAAATACCTTCTTTTCTTTTGGGCTTAACGATTTATAACTCTCTGACAGCTGGTCCTTGATGGTCTCCCCAAAAATAAGTTGTTTTTTAATTCCATCTACTCTTTTTTGTTGTATTGAAGACCTTTCTATGATCTGTTGTACTCTAGTTCCAGGTGAAACTGATGGGGAACTAGTTTGTTGAGCAACATTTTTATTTTGATGCATTGACTTCTTTAGGCGAGAATACTTTTTCTTCCACTTTCCAACTTTTTTTTTAAGGTCTGCTATTTCAGCTTCATTTTTTCTTTTTCTCGATGTCGCTTAAGTTTCATTCTATTACTTTTCTTTATTGCATGTTCCTTTCTTCCATCTAACTGTTTCGTTAAATGATCTGGCACATGTGCGTTTTCGGATGATCTTAGTCTTAATCGATCTCGGTGAGACTTTGTATATTGTCTCCATTTCTTGCGTTGCGATCTAATTTCTCTTTCTGTCATTTCCGAAACAAGCTTCCTTTGTTTATTCTTTCGTTGACGCAAGTATTTCTGATGCTCTTTTTCCCGCTGCTCCTCACGTTTTTCCGGATCTTCTCTTATTTTACGCCTCCGTTCTCGTTCCCGGTCACGTTTAATATGCTTTCTTTCTTCATCAGATATTTTCCTATGTCCAGACATCTTACACCCTGCTATAGACTAGTAGATGGACCTGTGAACTGTAAAAAATACTTGCATCAATGCATGTTTGCTATAGTTTTATAGAAAAAAAATGGAATCAAGTCAGTTCCGTGTCACACAGTCAGTTCCGTGTTTTCGCAATGACACGGGACTTACAACCACGGGACTGACATTATTGCACTTACAGCAACAAAAAAAGTAATCGGTTCAAAATTTCTAATTAATTTTAGTATGACAATTATGGTTTTTGATACCCGATACATGGGGTATTTGAAGCAAAAAGAAAAAATAGTAGCTTTAAAACACTTACCACGGTACTGACAAGAGACAGGTTTCCAAGACACTTTTTTACTTGTCGGACCCAGTTCCTGCTTAACCTATCAGTAATCTGTGCACATCTTCCGACGATTGAGCCAATACTAACAATTTCCAGTTGGGATAATACGGATGTCACTTACCATACCTTCCCCCACTACTTTATGGCGTGATATATGGCGCGGCACGGGACTGGCCAGATAGCTGGAGACAAATGCTTTCCGAAAAATTACTAAATTAATTATTCTTTTTGTTTCACCAATTTTCTATATTGTGGTTAGCTATGTGCATACTTGCGATATAGGTATATCAAGTTTTCAAAACAGTACTTCAGGTGAAAAAAATGGCAGGTATTATCAAGAGACATCCGCTAGGACATGGCACGGGACTGACATTTCAGTGGCATTTTCCCAGTTATTTTGTTCTAAATGGAAGATAAATATTTCATATAGTGTGCAAACCGTAAAAAATATGTAGCCAAACGCATCGTATCAGATAATTACATTGAAAAAATTATAACAAATCAGTTATTAAGAGGAACTTACGATGACTCATGTTAGGGATATTAACCCAGTAGCATATGCACCAATGTCTTATGAGAACCGAGATATTGAGGTCCGCAAACTCAATCAAACCTGAACCAAACCGAAGCCGGTCCTGTCCTATTCCTCGATCACATCCATAGCGTCAACGTACAGTTATACGACGTACGACTAGAATGTAAGTACTGATTTTACGACAGAGCCGTACTTGGAAGTTCAATTCAACTGAACACTGAGTACGTTTTCATTTATTTGTTTTAATTGTTCGTTCACGTTTCACCACACATTAGCTTTGTTATATCAAGCGTAGTTGTGTCTGAATAGGATAACCCCAACTTTGCGGACACCCTGTATATAATAATTCTAGTCCCTACAATTTTGCTACGTTCTAAAGTGATCATAGACCTCCAAAATGTCGGCCATAAGTTCTACGCGTTTGTTCTAAACTGCCCTGTCTTACTGACAGTTAAACTCTTATTTCTGTCATTTCTGAAATGATTTGCAAACTTTTTGCGAACTTGCCAAACAACGATAACATGTGGTTATCTCATCGGTATTCGAAAGGCGGTTTTAAACCGTTGATACCAAAAGTAACTATACTGACATATAAATCCGAACACCCAGTTTAAATGATTTATTTTAATAAAAGTTGCTGAATGTATTTATCTTACTGTAAATAACAAGTGAAAAATTTTCAGCCTTATCAGTTGGACATTCTGGTTTTTATACTGCTTTTTTTTAATTCACTAACGCTCTAAAAATGAATATTTCAGCCGCAGTAAAGAATCAACGTTGGCGGATTTTGGTTCTTGACATCCTTTACGATCGGTTACGATGCCTAGAGTACGGAGACCTGTACGATTTCGTCAACTTAGTGAGTTTGATAGGGGCCGTATAGTGGGACTTCGGGAAGCTGGACTTTCTTTTCGGGCAATTGCAGTTAGAGTGCAAAGAAGTGTAGACACTGTGGTTAGGTGTTGTCAGGCATGGCTTCGAGAAGGCCGTACGCAAAGAGCAAGGGGCACTGAACGCCGCCGTAGAACAACAGACCGTGAAGATCGCCGCCTAAGATTATTGGCCTTAAAGGACCGTTTCTCCACTACCAGGTCCATTGCAAATGAATAGTTTGCAGAACACGGAAGACCTATTGGCATGCGAAGTGTTTACCGACGAATGAGAAGTTTTGGCTTGTTTTCATACCGGCCACACTGGGTCCTCCCTTTAACTCGAGAACACCGACGTAATAGCCTTGAGTGGTGCAGACAACGGTCACTCTGGGATCAGGAATGGAACAGTACTGTCTAGTGACGAGTCTCGATTTTGTTTAGGCATGCACGATGGTCGTGCCAGGGTTAGAAGGCGACGTGGTGAAAGGAGGAATCCACAGTTTTTTGTTGAAAGACATGTTCATCACACTGTTGGAGTTATGGTTTAGGGTGCTATAGCTTATGGTTCCAGGTCACCTTTAATCTTCATCAGAGGTAACATGAACGCGCAGCGTTATATCCCCGAAGTTCTAGAACCCCATCTTTTACCCTGTCTTGACACCCTGGCAGATCCAACTTTCCAACAAGATAATGCCCGACCACATGTTGCAAGACTCACAATAGACTTCTTTCAACATAATGATGTCACATTGTTACCATGGCCACCAAGATCTCCCGACTTATCCCCAATTGAGCACGTGTGGTATATGATGGGTAGGAGATTGCTCAATTTGCAACGTCCTCCTCAGACTCTAGAAGCACTCGGAGAGGAGTTGGTGGTTGCCTGGAATGAGATACCACAGGAGGACATTGACCACCTGATCAGAAGCATGCCTAGGCGCGTTGGAGAATGCGTAGCACATCAGGGTGCAGCCACACATTATTAAAGGTCAAAGGGCTTTAAAGCAGTGCAATCATTTTGAAATTTTTATCGTTTACTTATTATGCTTCATTAAGTACTTATACAAAATTTTATTTAAATAAAACCATTTAAACTGGGTGTTCGGATTTATATGTCACTTAGTATATATCAGTTAGCAGTGTTAGCACAGATATTCAAAGATGAAGGTGATGAGTCATGTCTAGCCAGGTTGTTCCGATGGATATGAAGCAAAAGTGCACGAATGTAAAATTGTCAAAATGCAAGTTTTGTGAATACTCATCAAATTGTTCTGCCTTAACATTATTTTTGTGTAATCTACAATTTATGTAATTATTTCAAATTGGATCACACATAAGATGACATAAAAATGTATATGTTTCTCAAAAAAAAACATGTTTTTTAAGTACGTGTTTGCTTTCCGTCTATGTAACTACGACCAACCGCAGACATTGCTGCTTCGTGTTAATTAGCGGCTACTGTAGTAGTCTTGAAGACAGATGAACGGAAAGCAAACAAGTAGATATGGTCGTTAAAAAAACTCAAAATGATTTGCGGAGGTAGGCAAAAATCAGACGATCTCCACCTGGTTTGCCAAGTTGATCTTCATCATCCCGTACGATGAAACATGACGGAAAACTCACCTTGCCGACTCATAACTGCTCAAACCGGTAGATCCATCTGGCACCCGGAATACCAAGTTTCCGCAAAGCATATCAACAATGACTTTCTATGCATGTAAGCATAAATATAAACACGATTGAATTGGACATGTTTGCTTTCTGTTTCTGCAAACACGTCCAACCGCAGACAGCGCTGTTTTGTGCTCATTAGCAGTGCGGTATAAATCTAGTAGTCCTGGAGACAGATGAACGGAGAGCAAACAAGTGGGTAAAACTCAAAATGCTGTGCGGAGGTAGGCGATAAGTCTGAAAAACTCCACCTTTAAAAATTTTGTCCACGCTTTATTGTCTTGGCAATCTGTTCGATAGCATCCTTGTTGTCATTAATATAGTGCAAATATTTACATCGATTTATCTTTCATCGTCGATATGACACAAAAACCAACAATGCTGAAGAAAAGAATTAGTGAACATGGATAAAGCGAGAATTTCTCGAAACTTGATACGACGCACAAATCGATAATGCACTCACTGATAGCAACGACGTGACATTCCTTTCTTTGGCATTCCAACTTTTTGATAAAGATGTGCTTGCCCAGGGTATTTATATCTTACTTTCTACCCAGTTATTTGTTTGGGACAACCTTCTACGACGACCTTTTAGACTGTTTGATTAGGAAGTGGAAATGTACTTTTCGAAAGGGAGGACTTCGGCCCTTTGCTGAATAGTTGACAAAGTTCAGTGTTGTTATTGTCGTATTTTTACCGTATAACATTTCACTTACCAACCTATTTGAGAGTTTTTGACAAAATATCGAATCGTTAAGTCTTCCGTTACGTTATTTTTGGCAGCGATAGTAAATACACTACTGAAAAAAATTAGAGGGGCAACAAAAAAATCCATATTTTTCGGTGATTTTTGACAGGTTGTATTTCGATGAAAAATGGTCGTATCTAGACCCTGAAAAAGCATTTTGGAGCTTCAAGATTTTAGTTTTTTTACCGATAAATTTCAGGGGCAACTGTTCTCATGCAATTCTAACAGATGGCACAAGAAACAATTTTTGCAAACTTTTCCCTTCTTTCTTTTAGTCCACGGGCTTGAAATTTTTTTGTTAGGTCATCACATAGATCAGATAGCCCGTTTATTCATCTTCAATATCCTGTTTTTAAAATCTCGATACGATCATTTGACGTGGAGATAC